AGCGAAAAGCTGTGTTTCTAAAAAAAACAAAAAACAAATCTAGCATCAAGCCATTTTTTTACTTTAAGCCGGTGTTTCCCCTATCAATAATATTGCTTTCTCCAGTGAAAATATGAACAGTTCAAGCACTGTTAACGAGCAAAAACAGTTCTAAGTAAATATGTTTGTGGATTTTGATGTGAGAAGACAACAGGGGATGGATGTTTTCACTGGAAGAAGCGTTATCCTGAATGTGAATTACTTGTGGATTATTGTCACATTTTTATCAGCTGATTGGACTCTCATTCTGACGGCACCCATCCACTGCTTCCATTGGTGAGAAAGTGCTGTAATGCTAAATTTCTTCAAAACTGTTCTGATAAAGAAACAAACTCATTTGTGAGTAAATTTTAAGTACATTTTCATTTTGGCAAGCCATTCCTTTAATATCAATTCATCATGTTTAATACAGAGGGTTATTGAACTCATGCTTTTTGACTTCATTTTTACATAAGGCCTAATTTAGTTTTTGAATCTACTCTTTTTTTTTTTGTTGAGATCTATTATTCATGAAATAATTTGAATTTGCACATGATTTAAAACAACATTTTTAAACTCTGTGTTTTAGTTGCATTTTCCATTTTTATCATCTTGTATGTCCTAATGTGTCATTGACCCTTATACACGTATACATGTTTTTGAAATTTCAGGTATTTATTTCCACACTGGTGCCCAACAGTAGCCTGCCTTCTTTTGCAAATAGATTTACCAACTAATGATTAACAAAATTCCGCAACAGAACAGCTTGAACCTCTAAATCTGTGTGTGACTACACACATACTTAGTTTCTTCTATTATAAAAGCACCAACTTTACGTTCTTGTCACCACAAAACACCAAAAAATGTGCTTGATATATGTTTTTGGAGCACTAGCCATAACAAGTGGAGTTTTTAGCCAAGACACGACAACCTTACTGCCAGAGACTCGAGGTAAGCTTTATTTGTTCAGAAAACAGACTCTTACTCTCTCATGCACAGACACCTCTACACACACATATACTCCTACATACACAGACACAGCGTGTTGGATCTGTCCAAGCCTGTCTCTTTTCCTTCTCACCTCCCTCAATAGACCTGTTTGTAGCAGTGGGTTCATCTGTGAAGATACCATGCTCTGACGGAGAAGAAAAAGGGGTGGAGTGGAGATTCAACAGTTCAGTGCTTGTCTCAAGCCCTGTTCTCTTTATACAGAACAGCAGTTTGAAGGACCAAGGCATCTACACCTGCCACCAACTGAATGGAGATCTGATACAAACAGTATCTCTACACCTGGGATGTAGGTTTATGCGTATTTTCCTTTATTACTGTACATGTCAGTCTGGTAAAATGTCTCACTATTTTCCTATGAGACAAAGAGCTTAAACTGAAATTTCATCACTGTGTAATGTTTGCTCTATTCAGATCCCCCTTCTCCTCCGGATGTGCATTGTTGGTCTCCAAGTTACCCTAAAAGGGCAATATGCTCTTGGACACTGACTCCAGACCCAATACTTCCAACACATTATATTGCTACATACAGGTATCTTACACTCTTTAAAATATAGTTTTTTTTTTAATGGTTCCATGAAGAACCTGTAACATCTATTGCATCCAAGTTTCCATTGTACAAAATGTTCTTTATAGTGGAAAAAAGGTACTTCACATCAGGGCCGTTTCTAGGCAAGGCGAGCTAGGCGGTCGCCTAGGGCGCCACCAGCTGAAGGGGCGCCAATGAGCGCACGTACTGGCACTTTTAGCAGGGTTGTGATAAAGAGTGGCACGGTCACCCTGATATATGACTGCCGCCCCCACTGGATCCCCCAACATTATTGGGCTAGAGTACTGTCAATCTGACGATGCCTGTATGCCACTAGATCAGAGTGCTGTCAATTGCTGCCTGATCGTTGCATGCAAAGTTTGCATTTGGAGCGCTCAACAACGCCATTAGATCAGTGGGCTCTGTCAGTGCTTTGGCAAGGTAACACTTTTTTTTTGCCATGCAATAAAGCTAAGTTCAAAGGCCAATTTAAAATATTGGTACAGCAAATAAAGTGCACAAAATCTGTATTTTGTTTAGGGGGGGGCAATAGGGATTTCAAATTGGCTAGAAACGGCCCTGCTTCACATTATTACAATGTTTTTCACACTAAGAAAAAAATTGTTCTTTTTAAGAACTGTTCAAGAACTGAACCAAGAACGGCTCTTCTGTGGCATCATTGCAAAAACTGTCTTTTGGAATCTTTATTTTTAAGATTATACAGTATATTAAATGCTTTGTTAAAACAAGTTTGAATTGTAAATGATTGCCTTTTAATGCTATACATATTGTCTTTATAAATAATAGTTTGGTGCTTTAAAAAGTATGTGATAGCACCATAAAATATCAGTAAATAGGCTCTATATTCCAAGTCTTCTGAAGAATCTGCGATAGCATCTGATTCATCATGAGTGAATCATTCAGACTGGTTTTGTGACCCAAATTGATTCATTGAAAAGATCCAACTCAAAAGAATGATTTGTTCATGAATCAAACATCGTTTTTAATAAATGAGCATTGTGAGTAAATAATGACAGAATTCTTGAATGAAGTGTACCTTTAAAAGTGATGATAGAGGTGATGCATTTAAATATTTCTTTATTTTGAATATTGAGCTGTACTTTAAATTGTACACCTGTTGTAAATTGCTCGAATTGTATAAGTCACCTTATTTTTGATGATTTAAAAAAATAAAGTATAATTGTGCAGAATATTTGCTAAAGTTCTTCTCGATTTTAATTTAGGAGCTTTTCAGACCCGCTGTCAAGTACCCGTCAATGCCAGAAATGGGGAGAACAAGACAGGCAATGTGCGTTAGAGCAACTGGAGATCTTTGCAAGTGAACCAGCTCTCATCAACATTACAGCTGTTAATGCTCTGGGTAGCACAACACGCATATGGCCAATTAGTTTTGAGCAGATAGGTGAGATTTTCATAGTCCTCTTTTATACCATTTCATTTATTCCACTGTCTTTATTTGTATATTTTTTTAAATGTTAGAATATTATAATAAAACCTAATCATATGAATATGAAAAATTCTGACATTCTAAATAGAAATAAGTATTTACATCCAAAAATATCAGTTTAAGCTTTGGCTGGTCTATGTGAGAAAACCTTACTGCTGTGTGATGAAACAGCTGCTTTTGCAGTATCTTGATGCATATGCCATGAGCTCATATTGAGTGTTTAAATTCTTGTCCTTGGTTGGTCTGTAGTGAAACCTGATCCTCCGGTGAATGTGAGCGTGATGGTAATGCCAGGCAGGAAGCTGTCTGTGCAGTGGGGTCCACCACCCACTTGGCCAGATCCTGTCAACTTTCTCCTTAAATACACAGTGAAATTCCACTGGGGCAAACCTGAGACAGCAAGAACAGTGAGTTTCCTGTGTAAACCATGTTCAACGGTGTTAAAAGCAACTACATGCCTAGCTGTAAAGTACTGAAACAAAAGGCACCAAACAGAACGCAGTATTTGAAAAGTCACCTCATGCTACAGGAAGGACATATGGTCTTTTAATACTTTAACAATCTTTGTTTTCTAGCTGGGCCCTTATGAGTCTAATAAAATGGTTTTGAGTGGTCTGGTGGCAGGGAGGACTTACTACATCCAAATATCTGCAAAGGACTCCCTGGATGATGGACAGAGCAGTGACTGGAGTGAACCAATAAGTGCCACTGTATCTATCAACTGATGTGGTGAATCATTACATTACACTACATTAACCAAATGTGTTAGAATTATTATTAATTCTTATTAGGTCACTAAAGGATAACTTTGTTTATAAAGGCAATGACAACCAATTTGCAAGCTCAATGTGCAGAATCTTGTTCATTCAAAAAATAATAAACACCCAGCATGGCTCCACTTGCATGTAATCACAAAGCCTGTAAGCATGTTAAAACTGTTCTTATCTATTCTTTATTACCTAACTGATTTGAACTGGTTTGTGAAACAATAAAAATCACACATTTTCAAGAAGCACAAGAAAAAAACAAAACAATGTAACAAAGTAACAAAGCTGTACAGAAAAGTTTAATAAAAATGTTTTAAAACAGGTATACTGGTGTTTTTTTTATTAATATAGTAGTCAACATTTGAAGTGGATCAAAAAAGTTAATCAAAGTTGTCCTAAGACAAGAACGCATTTTGGTTTTAGGTTTTAGGACAATTTTGATGAAAGGTTTTGATCCACTTCAAATGTTGACTAATGTATTGTCTTGTAGTATTATTTATACACTCTTATAGAATTTAACAATATTTTAAATTAGTTTTTATATTTTCAGTTTTAATTTTAGTTTAGGTTTAAGTAAGTTTGTTATGTACTTTGTAAAAAAAATATATATATTATTTTTTAGTCTATTTTTTATTTAAGTTTTAGCTATTTTAGTGCTTCAACATATTTTTGTTAGTTGGCAACATTTCTAATTTTCATTTAAGTTTAAGGTTGTTAGTGTAATATTTATATTTTATTTATTTTCATTTTATTTGATCAATTTGATTTATATAGTTTTATGATTTAATAGTTTTCATCATTTAATAATAAGTTTTCTTTATTAGTTAATTTATTAATTTTTGTTTTTGTAATATTTCTATTTAGCTTTAATTTATATTTAAGCTTTGTAATTCAACTTAAAATGTGTTTATTTCTGTTAACTGCAACTCATTTTATTTCAGTTAGTTGCCAAGGCAGCATTTCTAATTTTCATTTAAGTTTGTTAAGGCTAAGGTTTTTCATCTGATATTTATATTTTATTATATTTCTTATTTATTTCAGCTTTATTACATTTTCAATTAAAAACAATATTTAAAAAAATAACAATTATAAACCCATTCAGAAAAGTATTAAAGAAATAATTCGCACAAAAAACAAAAGATCAAACTTTTTATTTTATGAAATAACTGATGGAAATGAAAATGAAAAATGTTCAACATCTCTTTACATAAAAGCAGATGTCAGGTAATGAAGATTGTGACTCGTCCGAAAACTTTATTTTTCCCTTAACATAGTTTTTTTTTTTATATACAGCCAAATCCTTTTTATAAGTACCCACAAAGCAGTGCATGAAACCCTTCAGTCTAATACGTCAACAATCAGTGGTGTTACAAACTCCGAGTGACGAACACCCATGGAGAAAGACGGTGCACGAGGCAGGTGTGCCGTCACCTTTTCTGGGCTGTGTGTGCCTGGACCAGGCTTCCGAGTGGCATCGGTGGGAATATTACATCGGCTTTGCAGGGAGAAAGAAGGCTGTCTGTTCAGGTAAACGCTTGGCTCTGTGCTGTTGTAACGGCCGGGTCCTGGGGTCATGGACAGGTCCTCCGATGGGCCGCCTGCTTTCCTGCGTGCTGACATGGTGAAGCTGGCGCTGGCGGGTTTGTGGGGAACGTGAGAGCCGAAGAGGTTGGGTAAGGTGTAGCGGTTGGGGGCCGGTACAGGATCCACAATGCGGTAGCGTGTGCGGAAGGCCATGGTGTAAGTCGGAGGTCTGTGGTGAAGGTTCAAAGGTGGAGCTTTCTCAGGACTGTAGGCTCCGGGTCCAGGAGTCTGGAATGTATCAGCTGATCAAAAACAGAGAATCAGCAACTTCTTTATATGATTATGCATCCCCTCTTAAAAGTTAAAGTGAATATGACATAAAATGATGCTATTTGCTTTCTGAATACACATTACCATTCGTACTGTGCATGATTCATCCAAAAAGTGCATGTGCATGTTATTCCAAAAAGAAAAACTAAACTGTTTTTTCAGATGACATTACCAATTTCTCTCAGCGAACCCTTACATTCTGGCAATGCCCATAATATATACAACCAATCCCAGATGGATAAAATTTAAGCCCAACTCATTTTTTTCCCTTATAGAGTGAGAGTTTCTTATTGAGCGCCCACTTTTTTTTTCAACCTCAACATTACAACCATATTTAAATATCTGACAAAAAGACAAAGGTACAAGTTTGTGTACTTAACTGCTTTACTGAGGGAAAGAACTACAATCCCATGATGCAGCATAGCGAAAGACATAATCGAAATAAAAACAATGGATAAATATAAAACTAATGATTTAAAAATGTTCATTATGTATATAAAAAAAAAATGCATATACCAAAAATGCAATTATTAAAGTAGTTTGAGAGTGTAGGGAGAGGGACTCTCATTTGCAGTGCTTCATGGGAGTGGGTGGGGAGTAGAGTTTTTTGGTGCAATTTGCTTGTTTCAAATTTCTTTGAGGAATCATGGGAAATGCCGCTTCTCACTAAGGAATCAGCTGTTAAACATGATTTTAAAAGAAGTTGAAATATATATGCAGTCTGCTGGCTCCAACAAAAGCATATAGCCTAACATAATTTAAAGGGGTCATATGATGCTTTTTTAAAGATCATTATTTGGTGTATTTGGTGTAACAGAATATGTTGACATGCTTTAATGTTCAAAAACACATTATTTTTCAAATACTGTACATTATTGTAGGTCCTCTATGCCCCGCCTCTCTCAAACGCTTCGTTTTCTACAAAGTCCCTCCTTCCGACAAGCGCAGTCTGCTCTGATTGGCCAGCTGACCCAGTGCATTGTGATTGGCCGAACACCGCAAGCACTCGTCGGAAATGTAACGCCCCTTACCATAATCGTGAGCTTCATCTTTCAAAATAAATGTAAAGACAGAGCCCGAAAGGGGAACAGAGTCGCGTGACAGACAGTGATGAAGCTGGTATGTGTTTGTGATGTGACCCCCCCTCTCCCTCTCTCGCTCTCTCTCTCGCTCGCTCGCTCGCGCGCGCACACACACACGATGCTCAAAACTCCGCATTTGAACAGTCAATAGCAAATACTTAAACTAATAACAAAACAGTAGCTGATTCAGAAGCGCCAGATTGTCATAGCAAAGTCAGAATTACCTCCTCTCCTAGGTTCACGAAACGGTCGTCCATAAAATGCATTGCTGTTCTGTTGTAAGTAATCTTAAAGATTCCTAAATGCATCTACTTTCGGAAGGCCAAATAAAGTGCTTTTGCTTTCGCCTAGAAACACACAGCGTCTCTCTGACATGGCTGCTTCAACACTAACTGCGGTTACTGAAACCACGCCTTCTTTCTTTGCGTGAACATTTGGGCGGCATTATGCTAATATTTCCACATAGTGAGGTAGATATGTGGGGGCGTGTTAGAACCAGCCGTTTTAGGGGGGCGTGGCAGAGTCTTAACTTTGATAAAGAATATCTCTTTGGTTTTGAGACTTTAGTCTTTGCAACTTCAGGGATCTTATCTATGCACAATCAGCTTGTAACACTCCAAAGAGAAAGGACAACTTGAAATCGCATCATATGACCCCTTTAACAACCTTGTAGCTCATAGTAGGTATGACTTTAAAAAGTTATCTTTAAAAAATAAATTCCCCTATGGAGAAAATGAATGGGATTTTTACTTATGGAACCTGACGGTTGCACTCTATTGACTATCCTGCTTTATTCATGAATATGTAACGTTACAGAAGTAAAATGTGTTGCGTATGCCATTGCATGTTAACTTCATACACATCAGATCTGTGTAATAAAAAAAGGTGAAAACTCACCCGTCTTCTTCTTTTTGCCCAGCATGGAGTACGATGGGGTACCGTCTCTACCAAAGCGTGTCATTTTGGCATCTACATGATATTGCGGTCCTGGACTGGAATCCACAGACACCACTTTTCAAAAGCAACATTATGAGAAAACACACCAGAATTTAGTGAATTACATTTGGCAGACACTTGTATGCAAAGCAACATCATTCTCAGAAAAAGGCTGGTAGGAAAGCTGTCACTGAGATGGTAAAAGGAACCATTTAGATACTAATTTTAGGTAATAATATGTACCTTTAAAGCAGCACTATGTAACTTTTTCTGTGTTCAAAATTTGCAAAATGTATATAATGAGCGAGTACATCATGAATTCATCTTCCAAACCGTGTATTTGTCTTATTCCGAATCATACGGTACACTTATAATAAGTACTTATATTTGGACTATTGTAGCCTGGTCGGGTCGTCACCGCTGCGGATTAACACATACCTGCGTGAATCGCCATAGACATTAACTTAGAGAAGTAGCTCCGGTTGGAATGTTCTTCCGCGGGATGTGTGCAGTTCTGTTTATTAACCGCTAGAGCGCCAAAAGTTACATAGTGCTGCTTTAAAGTATTTAAAGGTTGAGGGTAATTGAGGTACAAAAGTGTACCTTTCTGAAAGGGTACCGTCTCAGTGTCAGGTTTTGTATCATTTTTTCTGAGAGTGTTGCTGTCGCTAGTATCATGCTCTACTTTTTGAGCTAGAAAAAATACTATTTAAAGTTAATTAAAATCAAACATATGGATTCAAATCAAGCATGTGGATTTTATCAGCTTAATATGCCAGTGAAATAACATTAATCATTATATTGCATGCTGTTGTTTGTGATATAAAGTCCAGATGTGCAAGGATTTTTGTATGAATACTTTGATCAGACTGGGTGTTCTCAGTTTCTTCCATGAGGAAGCAGGCGTTACATGTCACTAATTAGGCGAGTAAATATTTGAGTGTGTGTGTAAATCCACCTAATATTTTAGTACTGCATAATAGACACTAATTAATCTATGAAATTATCAGTTCATATGAGTGCCAGGTTGATATATATCCAGTTTATCCATGAACATGTGTGTTAAAAGCATTCTCAGATGACCAAACCCAGCATTAGTTGAGTGGATCATGTCATCTGTCAGTGTGAGAAGTGTTTGATTTCATGTGGTGTCACTCACTGTTGCTGCTCATGCGGCTGTGGAAGGAATAGGCCGGGCTGCTGGGTTTGGTGTAGTCATGGTTGATGTAACCGATAGTGGGTGGAAGAGCATAACGCCCCGGCCCGGGCCCTGCGGGCATAAACAAAAACACAGAGTGCGGAGCCTTTTAGCATTTATTACTGAAATTGTGTTGGGTAATTAATGGAAAATAATTTGTGAATACAATATTGGTTAACATTATTGAGTAAAAAAAAAAATGCTGTACTATGGTTGTATTTATAAGTAGAATTATGATCGTTAACTAAAACTAGAACTATTAAAAGCAATTTTTATTAATTGAAATAAAGCTATAAAATATAAATGAGATGGAAAAACTAAATTAGAAAAGTTGAGGCAAAAAAATTACTAACTGAAAATAAAAAATAAAAATAAAAATGAAATTAAAGTAATTAAATATATATATATATA